CTCCTGCTGAATCCAGATACTGTCTTGAGTCATATCCAGCCTGTACTGAGTGTCGTCTGGATCAGCCTCTGCTCTCTAGAACATGGGTTGCAGCTTACTGGCCTCCGCCTCTATGCTGAGGATAGTTGGCATTCCTCTGATGTGGTCAGTTGCCCTGTGCCAGGGGCCTGCCAGACATTGCCCTTCTGTGCACTGTCCTCACTAGCACCTGCCCTATGGAGACTGGTGCCCTCTGCTGCAACCACACAGGTTCATTGTATTGAGAAAAAATTAGGGATTCCCACCTCTCTTTTTTTTTTTCTCAACAAAATTTTATTTTTTGGCCAGGTGTGTAAGATATAAAGGTGTTACACAGATGACTTCAGAGTCTACATTCAGTCCTCCCCAGCCAAGTACCTTGAGTCTTTTCCCAGGCAGAGAGGCTGTTACCTTCAAGTTCTGCCACAGACTTGAGCTGCAGTTTGAGATCTTTGCCCTGGGAGGTGTGACTGGAGCAGGTTCTGCTGCAGTAGGCTCTTGCCAGTACAGAGCCTGCAGCTCAGCCTGGGCGCTGCCTCCTGAGTACCACAGCTTGGTACTTCTGGCTCCAGAAGTAGGAGTATGTGGCCGAGCAGCCCTCCAGAGGAGCAGGTTCCATCTCTCAGCCAGCTGTGCTGCATCCCTGGCTCCCGTGGTCCCTTCCATGCCCCAGCCCAGAGCATTTGTTCTTCTGGTATTTAAGACTAATTGTTTACTCCTGGTATCTTAGCATCAGTTACTTATTAGCTAGCCCATTGGTTTTACCTATGCTGAGAGGTTAGCACTGGCACAGACTTTTTTGGGCATCACAGACTCAAGCCTCCCGGTGGCAGGGGCAGGGAGAGAGGGAAGACCTTCTGTGGAGGTGGAGCATGAGGCATGAGACTGTATGTTGAATTTGGCTCGCCATAACTTTAGGAGTAGTCCTCCTGAGGTGTAGGTTGGGTATACCCTGAGGTTGTAGGTGTGGAGTCTGCATGTTTCTCTTAGCAGTCAGGCCACGGCAGGGGGGCTGCCTTCTTCCTTAGGTCACAGAGGTGGTCTTGCCTGTATGGGCTTGTTACCTGAACCAACTTTTTTTTTTGTTTGTGTATGAGTGCTACTGAGAACCTAGGGGACACTCTTAACACTAAGCTGTATCCCTAGCCTTATTTTTTTTTTTTTTTTAATTCTGAGACAGGGTCTCACTAAGTTGTTGAGGCTGGCCTACAACTTGTGGTCCTCCTGCCTCAGCTTCCTGGGTCTCTGGGGTCACATGTGTGCACCCATTTGACTGCCTTTCTTGTAGGATGTTGAATATGAGGCATGTGGGTGAATCTTGAATGAGAAATCATGGAGTGAGTTGTTCATTTGCTACCTGTGGGGTTCTGTAGCTTGTCTCCACCCCTGGATTTGCGTCTCCTTTACCTGTGTGGCTCATTTGGGCAGTGTCTCTCTGGAAGGCCCACAGGGGTGAGCCTTTTTGTTATTTGTTTGCCTTTTTGGTCTTTGGTCACATGACACATTTGCTGGAATATATTTTTATTTATTATTATTTCTTTTTTCCTAAACAGTGTAGATTACCTCTCCTACCCCCACCTTGCCATGCAGTGAGGCTTTGTGGCGCTGCCCAATTCCTCCTCAATAGGAGTTCTGCGGGAGCTTGCCCGAGGCTACCTTGGATGAAGGCCTGCACATGTGGGAAGGCTTGTCAGGGAGGAGCCCAGCACCCCTCATTCCTCGGTCCTCAGCTGTCTCTGCCACAAGCCACTGCCTTCCCTTGCTCTCCAGAGACCCTGCAGCGTGTCCGCCGGTGCTCGGGCGAGACTGGGGAGATGGGGCCTCTGGGGAGTGCATTTGTCTAGTTCCCAGTTTTACCTCTGTGGTGTGCATGCTGCTGTTGAAGAGGAACAGAAGAAGGTCTTCTCAGTTGTTAACTGTTGGGTGTTTTTTATTTTTATTTTTTTTAAATCATGAGAAACTTTGACAGCACACATAGGTAGAATACTGTACTCATCTGTTTATCACATAGAATCAGTGATTAGGACGAGTTTACCACACATGCTGGATCTGCCCTTTGCTGCTTTCCCTTTTGTCTCTTTCTTTACTGAATTGTTTTCAGGTGCATCTCAAGACATCACGTTCTCTCACTCCTGGACACTTGAGGGTGTACCTTCCAGACTGTAGACTTGGCTTACATAATGCAGTGGCTTCTCCCGTAGTTAGCCATGCCCTGTGACATCTGACACCATGTCTCTAGTCACATTTCCTCTTCTTTCAGCTGCTGGTTTATGTACAGCAGATTCCCAAGAAGGGTCTCCTGTTACATCTGAGAGTTTCCGCCTCTTTCATCTAGATTTCTATTCCTTCATACCTTGTTGCCAAAAATGGGGCAGCTGACCTGAAGGGTAGTTAACCTCTCGCTAGTGTTCTGCTGGCTTCCTGGCAGTGCTGTCCTCAGTTCCTCAAGAGGCCCCCTCAGGTTCTACACAGCCTATGGCAGTGAGCTGGCCCCGCAGCAGCTCCACAGGAGACACCTGTTCTGTTTGCTCCATTTTTTTTGAGTCATGCTGAGATTGCTTTGTGGCTTCAGGTGATGACTGCCTGACTTGGCAGCTTGTTTTCACCTGTGCCCGTCCTGCCTGCATCAGGTGCTTACTGGAGTCCATATTCACTAGCTAGGTTGTTTGGTGGTTTGGGAGAAAGTTCATGGAGCAGCAGGTGCTGTATTCTTTCCCTCTCAATTGCCAGAGTTTGCTCTTGGTGCCTTTGTTGCTTCCATTTTGTCCAGCACCCGGTTCTCCCCTCCGCTCTCTGCCTCCTCTTTCTCCCTGCCTGTTCAGTTTTGCATATTTAATGTGTTTCTGTCGATTGCATTTCTTACTCCCTTTGATGTTCTGAGGCTTTCTGTCATGACAAGATGTTCCAAGCTTGTTTTGTAAGTGGTGCCTATAGTGGTGAACCAGCTATTCACCAGGATCCCTTTGCCTCTTGGTGGGAAGAGGGAAGGGGCTGTGGGTGTGCTCCTTGCTGCCTGTACCAACTCCTTCCAGACCATTTTAGTGACAGCTTTAAAGAAAAAAAATAAGAAGAATTTAAACTTAGATTTACTATATTAACTTTTATGTTACAGGATTCTTTTTTAACTTAGATTTTTGTGTTTATGTCTTATTTTTCTTTCTTTGAATATTGGTTCCTAACGACGATATCATAAATTACTTTTCATTATCCTGCTCTGCAAAAACATGAGTTAAGCTGCTGAATTAAGTTTTTTTTCTTTGCAGCTTTATCAATAGAATATGCTCTTCTGGGGTAGCAGGTATACTGTTCAGACATCATTTGTAGATGTGTCACCAACATGAGAGTTGAGGGTCAGTCTCTCTTTTTTTTTAGTTTTAAGGAATTTTTCTATTTCATTCTATTTTTTGAATATATAAACATCTCTGTTTCTAACGTTAACAAAACTACAAAACAAGGTTTATTCAGATAAATCTCACTTCTCTTTCTTCCTCCCTGGTAGGTAGTCATTAAATAAAGGTTACCCTTTACCATTTTTTTATTTTTGTACATTTAGACAGATATGATACATTCATATTCCTTTTATTGCACAAAAGGAAACATGGTATTCTGGGCCTTGCAATTTTCACATAGTGGTATTACCTTGGTTCACACACAATACGCGCGCGCGCGCGCGCGAACACACACACACACACACACCATGTTTTTAATGACTAAGCAGCATTTCATTGGAAGGAAGTGCTGGAATTGATTCAGGTAGGCACCTATGCATGGGCCTTGAGTTGCCAGCAGTTTTGCTGTGACAGGTACTGTCCAAGGAATCCTGCTCCTCCATCATTTCCTGTTTTTAGGAAATTCTGAGTATCTAGTTGAATATCACAGTCCTAACACTTACATCTAGAAGCAGTCTGGTTTATTTTGCCATCTTAATTTTAAAGAAGTCTCCTCAGTTTCCTGTGTGCAGTACCTCATTGAAATTCATTTTAAGAAGGTCTATTGATTTCATTTAGTTTATCAAAATACCATTGTGTAAAATACGAGGGATGGAAAGATGCTGGCATTGTTTTAACCCTCAGAAGATTTAAGGTTGAGGATTTTGGGATTGATTTTCTTCTTTGATCTCCTCTATGTTTTATTTTGTGTATTTTGTCCCCTTAGGTTATCAAAAGACTAAAAAAAGGCACTAGAAAGTGTATCTTTACTGCTCTCCCTGAGTGGAGCAGGTTGTATCGGGTGCAAGGGTGTTCTCAAGGACCCTGGATAAACTCAGCACATATTAATTGAATTTCTCCTTCTGCCAGAACATAATAGTGAACAACACACACAACTTTTCCCTTGTAGCACTTACATCCTTGTACAGAAGATGGATCTAAAACCAGGGAACAGAGAAGACGATTACTAGTTGTATGTGCTTTGAAAGTATCAAATGAGATTCAGAGTCGAGCCAGGGGTGGGGCAGCTGACACACAGAGCCACACAGTGGGAGAGAGCAGTTCCAGCACTGGTGACAGGCACAAATTCCCTGGGGTAGGAAGAGCTTGGGGTATGTGAGAATCAGAAGAAATCAGTGTCAGAAAGCAGTGACTAAGGTAGAAAAGAGCAAAGACCAGGTCCTGCAGAGCCTTGTTTTTAGGGTAAGGATTTGGATTTCATTTTGAATACATCAGGAAACCATCAAGGACGATTAAGCAGGGGGATGATGTTGAATATTCGATGTATATGTACTTTTTCTTTCCATAGATTAGGAGGCAGCTCACATGAGGTATTGATCTCCAAAAGCAGCAGTATTAATCCTTCTGAAGTTTAGAGTGGAGGTGATATTTCTCCTTGTTCCTTTATGCAGGGCAGATGCTCTTCTTCTGCTTTATTTTCTCTTTCCGTAGTATTTCCCTTGGTGCTATGCAGATAGTTACAGTGAGCAGTTGTAACGGATGATGAACTTGATTTAGAACAGGAGGATGATATCTACAAATTCTCTTCTTCAGACCTGCAAATCCAAGAGACACGTCCCTCTGGAAGAGAAGAGAGCTGTGTCCTCAGGATTAAAAAAGGTCTGTGTTATTGCTATCACATTTATGTAAAGATAATTATGCAATCAATAACAGTTTTCTGGACAGAAGAGGCATTTTCAATGTATTTATTTATGTTTCTGTTGCAGAAGACTGGTGTGCTACCTGTGTAGAAATTCCCAGGAGCAAGACTCGCCACACCTGAGCTCACTGTAAAGGCTATGCAGCTGTGCAGGAGCAGAAGGATGTACTGACCGTCGTAGGGGAGGCTGCGGATGCTCATGACCATCAGTGCTCTCTCACCCTCGAAAACTGGGTGCACACTGTGCGGTCCTTTTCTAGACGTGAGAAGTACAAGATTACTCTATGAGAGGAAGACTCCAGGGGCTTAAAGACACGTGCACCTTGGCCACCCCTTGGAATGTTGACGACTCAGGATCTAAAGGAAATTCTGTGTTAGAGTATGGAATTCATGTGGAAGTCAATGTCACTTTATAATCGGTAATAACACTGAGTAAGGAACACTATGCAGGAAGAAACCTTCCATAGAAAGACAGGCAGGGAAAAGCTTAGGCCGACCTTAAACTTGCCCAGCAGCTTAAGCCTGAGATAGGCTGCCAGAATGGCCAAATAAGAGACTCTATGAAGTAGCAGTCCTGTAACTGTAGTAGTTGTAAGGAAATTTTCTCCTCTAAATCACGATACCAAATAGGAAAAATGATCTACAAGTGCCCCATGTGTAGGGAATTTTTCTCTGAGAGAGCAGATCTCTTTATGCATCAGAAAATCCACACGGCCGAGAAGCCCCACAAATGTGACAAGTGTGATAAGGGTTTCTTTCACATATCAGAACTTCACATTCATTGGCGAGACCACACGGGAGAGAAGGTCTATAAATGTGATGATTGTGGTAAGGATTTTAGCACCACAACAAAACTTAATAGACATAAGAAAATCCACACAGTGGAGAAGCCCTATAAATGTTATGAGTGTGGCAAAGCCTTCAATTGGAGCTCCCATCTTCAAATTCATATGAGAGTTCATACAGGCGAGAAACCCTATGTCTGTAGTGAGTGTGGAAGGGGCTTCAGTAACAGTTCAAACCTTTGCATGCACCAGAGAGTCCACACCGGAGAGAAACCCTTCAAATGTGAAGAGTGTGGGAAGGCCTTCAGGCACACCTCCAGCCTCTGCATGCATCAAAGAGTCCACACCGGGGAGAAACCTTATAAATGTTATGAGTGTGGGAAGGCCTTCAGTCAGAGCTCCAGCCTCTGCATCCACCAGAGAGTCCACACTGGAGAGAAACCTTATAGGTGTTGTGGGTGTGGGAAGGCCTTCAGTCAGAGCTCCAGCCTCTGCATCCACCAGAGGGTACACACAGGAGAGAAACCTTTTAAATGTGATGAGTGTGGGAAGGCCTTTAGTCAGAGTACCAGCCTCTGCATCCATCAGAGAGTCCACACCAAGGAGAGAAACCATCTCAAAATATCAGTTATATAAAATGTTTTGCTAAGAATTAAAAAATCTTAAAACCCATAAGTGCCACTAGGAAGGAAACCCTGTATGTACCTACATTGACCCAAGGAGTATTCACGGCAGTCCCTAGCAGAATGTTCTTTTTGAGGAGGCATAGGTGAGGTTGAGGTTTTGATCCATTGATTCATACCAGGTGTGTCCCACAGCTTGACTTTGAATATGGAGTCCTTCTGAGCATGTGCCCAAGACGGGTGGGCTGTCTTGCATCCCAGGTGTGGATTTTGTATCCTGGAACTCCACGATGCCTCAATAATTGAAGTACTGCTCAGAACTCCTGAGCATTGCCAGCCTCCAAGTCACCTTGTGTCTGTGCTGTGCTTAGAAGTGATCCCAGATGATCCCTCTCAGGAGCTCTTTCTCCTTCCTTCCTCTCGAGCCTTCTGGTCAATGCATTTGAAAATGGACAGCTCCCGCTAAGATCGTGTTCTGGCATTTCTGAGCTTGCCACATTACAGCCCTACGTAGCTTTCCATATATCCCGTGACTTCTGAACCCACTTTACCTCACATCCTCACAGTACCCATAATTCCCCACCCCTTCCTAGGTGGCATTAAATTTCATTTTAGATTTTAGGCAACTCATAATATCCATTCACTTGGCCTCAGAGAAATCACTGGCAGACACACATGCCCTGGGACTTTTCTTTAGTTGTGGATTCTGCTAATCACTGTGTCTATATGTTAGACTTATTTTCTTAGTGGCTGCATCACAACATTTTTTAACTTGAATTTTTTTTTTCTTTTAATAGCTGAATGTAAATAGCAGGGACAAAGAAGCAAAGCAAGGTATGAGCTTGTCTTCCCTCCAGAGGCACCCGCAGGCTCCCTTATGCCCTGTGGGGAGCCCCTCTAAGCCAGGGAGCCCTTAGGAAAGGGATGGTGGGAGAGGTCACTAAGGATGTGTGTCTGTTTCTGTCACCTTGGGCAGTACTGTGTAGGAGCCATTGGGGGTCAGGTGCCAGCTCTTGCTAGGCATGGATGTCTGTTGTCAGTCCATCATCTTTTCATTCTTCGTGCATTGGACAAGAATTTATTGAACACCTGCTGGGTGCTGGGAATGCCACTGAATCCGACAGACGAGGTCCCTGCTCTCGTGGAGTGTACTTCTGGTGGAGACAGATGATAAGCAAGTGAACATTAAAAATGTAGTCTGAGGTAGTGGTTAAGTGCTATGAAGAAAATAAACTAGGGTGGTGATGTAGAGGTGGGGGGTGGGGGGCATTAGCTAGGGTCGGGGAGCCTTGCTGAGGGCAGCTGGGACTGGGCAGGCACAGAGGTGGCGCACCAGTGGGACCACGCAGGTGCCGCTGGGTGCTGCCTGCCCTGGCAGACAAAAGGCAGGCGCTGGAGGTAGCGGCGGTGGCGGGAGGGGGAGGGATGCTGAGCTCTCAGTGTCCAGACTTTGTAGGCCTGTTACGTTTTATTTGTTTTGCTAGATATTAAAAACTCATGTGGAGGAACTCAAGGAATGTTTAGAAGACCAAAAGTCCCCAATGACAAGAACAAAAAGCAACCCATGTTTTCCTCATTTCTCATTCCTGTCATTGATTTCCCACAGGCAGGCCTTTTGCTCAGGAAGTCTTTGGGGAAACTAGGATCTTTGAAGCTCTGAAATGGGTGGTCAGGTTGGTGGTGTCTGTCAGCTGTCTAAGTTGGAAAATGAATTCAAGATAGTCGTGGAAATACTGTATCTGAGCTTGGTTTTCCCTCCATGTTTGAATTCGTTTCTTCTGTTTGGCTGGAAGGGGTTTTTGCATAACTAAAACCTCCATGCATAAAGGAGATTTAAAAGGAGCACAGGATTCAGTGGGTGGGCCATGAGGTGAGAGGTGGGACTTGGAGATAAATTTAGTCCGTATGCCTCTGCTGAGAGTTTGCTGAGTTGCTTCACAGGTATTTCCTCCTTTTTGTGAAGAAGAGGGCTGCTTTAGTTATCTGCTGAAGCCCCTTCCAGGCCTGAAGTCACAACTGCGGTTTACTGTAGTGTCTTATCACTCTTCATGTCACAGTAGCGTGGAGCATTAGAGAAAAGCCTAGACTTTTAGTTGATAGAGAGCCAGTTGAAATATCATTGATAGAATTTTAGTTTTTAGGAAAAATTGGTTTGATTTCTAGTTTTATTACTATTAGGTATGTGAGCTTGGGCAGATCGCTTGATCTTTGAGTCTAGTTTTCTCACAAAATGAGGATATTAGGCTAAATGATTTCCGAGTTTCCAGCTAGTCCTAGAGTTCTATATTTCTACATAGTTGAATTATTTTATCATGCTGTTGCTGGGGAATATGACTAACACTTTTGAAGCTACTAATTTTATGTCAAGCTTTAAAGTCCATAATTGTTATCTTCAGAAAATATTATTTGACCTACAGTATGTCCAAATCAATTTAATAAAATCACTTTATAACAGGGTTCTGTGCTTGACGTGTAGTTGTGTGGACTCAGTGGTCATCATGGGGCTGGGGTGTGGGTTGGTGTGTACATTGTACCCTGGATTTCACATCTAGTTCAACCAGCTTAAAGTGTTGGCAACAGACTCGTTCTCTGATCTGTCCTGTCATTTCTGTTACCTGCCTGGTGCCGGTGGGCCTGCCTTGCCCCCTGAGCCCTGCTCTTGTCCCTTCTGACTGTGACTCGCTCGTGGTGAAGTGTGGACCATGCTTGCTGACCATAGTCTGGAAGCCACCAGCTGCCAGAGTGAAGTCTGTGTTCTGGTCTCAGCTAACATGGTCATAAGCCTTCTCAGGGGAACAGGAAGGAGAGGTTCTGCTAAGATTTGGGTGGGAGAGGGATCCTGAGTGACTCTGCAGCTTCTCACATCTAAGATGGGCAGAGATCCATCGAAGAGCCCCACTTTCAGATGGTCTGCCTTCAGGGAATAGGCAGCAGAAATTGCCTGAGTTCCTTTGTGTCGCGTCAGCATGGCCATGAAGCTAAGGGACCTTCTAACTCTTGGTGCTCTTCTGAAGAATTTTAAGCTGTATTAAGCATTGTGCAATTTGCTGTTACTCTCAGAGATTTGGGCAAAGAAGATGTGAATAGAGAGCATGTTTCCGAAGCAGGGGAAAAAACACCTAGTCATAAAATCAGCCCAGGAAGAGATGCCAGGCCTGGCACCACTGCGGGGCCAGAGCCAGATGTGACAGCCAGCCAAGGCCAGACGGACTTGGGACGGAGGCAGGAATGAGCAGGTGGCCCAGTACCCACCCTGACCTCACGCAGGTCCCAGCTTTCTGGAGCCTCATGTGTCACACCTATAAAATGGCTTTGAAAAGCCTCAGCTCAGGATAATAGAACCAAATAAGCATATATAAAATCCCTAGTATTGTTATTACTCCTGTTGCCTTTTTGAGGAGATGAGACGTTTATTGGAGTTTTCTTGTGCTGAGTGCTGCAGTGGGTGAGGGCATTGAAATTTGGGGGGAGGGCTGGAGTGTTGCAGTTGACGGAGGGGGGGAGGCCCTCTTGGGCACCTGTGATTGGAAAGGGAGCACAAGGGGACCAGTGGGGAGGTCAGCGCGTCAAGCTTTCCTGTGAACATGTAGGAAACAAGCAAAAAACCTTTCCCTGGAGTTGGGCTTCTGGCGGGGGTTTTTCTCAGGGAGCCGGGGAGAATGCAGACAGACTGCTGCGTGCAGGCTGACGAGGGGCAGAGTGCACCTCAACGTCTGAGCCAAGGGCGCCACAGACCAAGCTCCAAGGAACCAGGAGTCTGGGAGAGCATCCAGCTTCTGCAGGCCACAGGACTTGCAGGGCTCTGAGCCAAGTTTACCCAGACCCCCAAAGACCTCTGTTACCAACCCTGCGAACATAAGGTGAATAACTTTATGATCTTAAATAAGGTGAAATGGGCTTGCTGGTGGAGTGCCTGCCTAGTTATGCATGGGCTCGGCTTCCACCCTCCGCACCATACACATGGATGCACATTCAATCTTAAAGTTCAGTAAATTAAAATGTGCAAACTGCATGTTTTAATTATTCCCACATTTTAATTAATTCTCGATTTTAATCATTCCCACATTTCAAAGCTTTAAAGTGAAGACACATGAACAACCCACAGATCCCAGGGCCTATGTGCAAACATATGCTGGCATGACTTTGGTGTCAGTCTACATGAAAGATGACTTATGCCCAAGCCACTATTCAAGATGCAGCCTGTGCACTTAAGTATGTTTTTAGAGAAAATGCACCGATGTAGATTCCTCTTATAGGTGACTTTATACTGTATAGAGTGTTTGGTGTGTACCCTGCCATTTGTACTTGCTAAATAATGCTTCTGGAAACAGGTTCACTTAGACTGACTCTCCTTCTGCTCAGCTCTTGGCTGGCCTTGGTCCAAGTCTTCACATGAGTTACGGAGGGATGGTTGCATTTAGAGAGGTTGAAAACCTAGGCTCTGTGGATGGCGTAGGGAGGTCTGGACCTTCAGTAGTATAAAGATACAGTGTTCCTGGATGCATGTGTGTTTTAGGAGAGGACTTGGTTTACTCTGTGGCTTTCATAGATGAGGCACACTGTTGGGGGAAGTGGCCAATAGAGCCACATAGCCAGTCATTAGGAGGACTTAGACAAAGGTGGGACCTGAAACCACAGCAAATGATGGCTGTTGTTCAAGTTTGGATCTTAAGTGCTTCCCCAATGGTCCATGTGTTAAAGACTTGTCCCAAGCTGGGGCACTAATGGGAGATGGTGGGGCCCAGAGAGAGGTCTTCAGATCATTGGAGCCCATTCCTCACAGGGGGTTCTGGACCTCCTCTTCCGTGTCTTGCTTGCCAGCCACGTGAGCTTGCCCCATCCTGCACTCCACCATGATGCATTGTCTCCCGGGAGCAGCCAGCCAGGCCACCGTGGACGGAAACCTCTCCACCCGCAAGCTTTTTCTTTTTGTAAATTGAGTATCTTAGGTATTCGATAGAGTAATGAAAGCTGACTGACATGGATATAATAAATGGAAGAAAAAAGGGCTGTGCTATGGTGAAGAAAGAAAAACGCTGACATGTAATGAAAAGGTACGTGTGCCTGTGATATCACGCAGGACTCAGTTGGGCTGGGTTCTCCTACCGGACAAGAGTTAACGCAACCAGCTCGTTAAAGTCTGTAGGCGTGTCAGAGGGAGCTGGCTGGAAGTGGGGAGAATGGACCCTGTGAATGCAAGACAGTAGATCTACAATTGAGTCTGTCTTCTGGTTACAGAGGAGGTGTTCTGGCTATAACATTGGGGTAAGCTCCCCACTGCTGGATTGAGCTGTTTCCGGTTGCTCAAATAAACCTATTCATCACCTGGTTTTGTGCTTTCTCGTTTAATTTCTGTGTCCCACTTTACTTGCCTGGAGCACAAGAGAGGTCAATCTCTTTGTGTTTAAATCAGCCATGTTGAGCCTTCTTCCTGTCTGTTCTCAAAATGTTGTTTTTACCTCTGGTACTACTCTTTCACCCCTGGGTGCCCTGTCCCCTTCCTGAGACAAGGTCAAGATCCACAGAGACTTACTCCAAGTGATAAGTCCTGTTTCTAAGATCTTGTGGGAACAAACCAGATATTTGACCAGTAGACCAGCCGTCTGACTCCCGGTGTTCACTGTGGGCCACCTGTAGGATCTGAAAGAACTGGGTTCTCTGCGTTGCTTACCAAGAAGCTCACTCGACCCTGTGAACATCAGGGAAAGGGAAAAATGGGAATGTATAAAACGGACTGGCAGGTGTGCGTCTAAGAGTCCCATTTATCACAGTGAATGTGGATGAGTTAGAATTCTGCTGTCTATGGACATTTTCAGGTGGAATTACAAACACCATAATTATGTGTTGAACATAAGAGACTTCTAAAAAGGGGTGGCACCAGAGGCTAAGAATAAAGGGGCTGGAAAGCACTGGGAGCATGCTAACAGGAAGAGTACAGTAGAACCGCCCCTGAGAGCGTGGCAGTAGCTTGACTAGAAGATGAAACAGAGGGGTGTGCATCCCCGTCTCTGACAACATCCTTAAAAGTTTGGGTTCTTAGACTGCAGCGAAAAAGGAAGCAACACCCCAGTGGATCTGTTAGACTTGTTAATTGTCCTGACTTTGCATGTTTCTGCTTCATCTAGCATGTACTTAAGGGAACTGTCCCCTGTGCTTCTGGTTTGGTTGATTTCTGAGTCTCTGCGGTTCGCTGTTCACCTATCAGGGTTTTCTTTCCAATTGGGCCTCTTAGGTGTGAGAAATCCCTGTCTTTGCCTGTTCACTGGTGTCTGCCTCAGTTCTACATTGATGGAACCAGTGTCACATCTTCGTTGTGTCTGCCTAAGATAATGTTTATCTATTGAAACTACCTTTTTTGTGATTTTGGTTTTAGGGAAAGGTGTTATATATGCGTATCAGAGAAATACCAACCACAATTAAGCATCTAGCTCGCCTCTCATTCCTGACCCCCAGTCTCCTGCCCACAGCAGCCATTGCTGGTGTGCGTCTTCTGGGGTATTCCTGCCTGTGCTCCCTAGGGAAGGTGCACTCCTGATTTTCCCAGGAAATGATGGCATTCTGTGCCCATGCTGTCATCAGTTTTATTCAGTTAGTGAAGCTTTCAGTATCACTGTTAATATCAGTGCGTTCAAGTCTGCGTCCTTTTTGTTTTGCTTTGGTGACATCATCATTTCCCTCTGTGTGGAAGACTGTGATGTGCGTCACTCATCTTCTGTAGATGGAACACTCCCCACCATTTTCTTCCATAGCTTTTTTAAAAAATTTTTTATTTTGTGTGTGTGTGATGCTGGAGATGAAACCCAGGGCCCCACATATGCTAGGCAAGCACTCTACCGCTGTGCCACATGCCCAGCCTTTTTTATTTTGTACTGTGAGACGGGGTCTCACTAAGATGCTGAGGCTGGCCTGCACCTCGTGAGTCACTGGGATTACAGGCGTGCACCACTACTCCTGGCTTCTGCTTTTTGTTTTTTATGTTTAAATCTTTGATACAAACACAATTTATTTATTTTTATTTTTTTGCTAAGGAATGTGGTAAAGAATTAACAAAAATTTCCCCCAGATGGTAGCCAAATTAACAACCTATTAGCACTTATTAAATCTTTTCTCCACAAATTGCAGATGCCAGTTGCATTACAAATCAAATTCTCTACGTATCTGGATCTATTTCTATTCAAATAACAATGCTCTCTCTCTCTCTCTCTTTTTTTTCTTTTAATGCCATGCTACTGGGATTTGAACCCAGGGCCCCGCACGTCAGGTGTGACATTTTACCACGGAGCTACACATATATCCCCCAAGTAGCAAATCTTACATATTGCACCTTCATCATGTGCTTTAGTTTTTGCAAGGCCAGCCCTTTAATACCTTCTTTCCCAGACTTCCCCTGTCTCTTCTGGACTGTTGGAGTCATTCCTTTTAAACTTTGGGTCATTGTGCCTTAGTTGTGTGTCTT